TCATTGAACTAACAAAAGGCAAACACTCGGCCCTCAACTCCATAATGGGTGCCAACTCTGGAGGTCTGGCGCTTAACATCACATTTGCGGGAACTGTTAGTATCAGTGCTAAAGCAAGTGATGGAAGGGATGGACACGAAGTGAAGGTCTCAACCGCTTATTTGGGAGGTTTGGGTCTTCTTCTGGGACTAAATGCTGAGCAAAACAAAGCCTTTTCATTGGACTCCGAATCCATTCCTTCGGATCCATTCCTGAAGAATATCTACGAAACAAGTAATCAATTAATGATTTTATTAGTGATTGAATGAAATGTTAATCCATTTTTTCTGATATTCAGACCTAAACTCCCAGAAAACGTTATCCACGTCTGAGACGGGAGTACTCGTAGCCCACGGGTCGGCCACCGGATCCCAAATCACGGCAAACAACGGGAAACTGGAAAGTGGTTTAATCGGAGGCTTTGTTGTCGGATCTGTCACTAAAGTGTCCGCTAAATAAACTCTTAAAACTGCATTAATGTCTTAAATAATCAAAAATTCTTATAAATTATAATAAAATTTATTAATTTGTCGCAAATCTCGTAAAATTTATTATTTTATCAAAAAAATTAATTCATATAATATTTCAAAACTTCAATTTAAAAATAGTTAAAATAATGAAAAATATCTTTTAAAAATTAGACTAAATTACAACAAATGTCTTTCAGTCGCTTTTCGCCGTATTCTTCAGCCAATCCTAACAGTTGTCGACAGTTCTGGTCATTAACTTCGGGTCGCAATCCATACAAAAACATGAGAAACGCTTTAATTGTGTCATAAGAATAGGCATTCATTTCAATCTCCCGTTCGGTAAACATATTTTGTTCACATATTTCCCAAAACTCTTTGTTTCTAATCTTGAGAACAGTTTTGTGACAATAAATGAACTGATTTTCGACTTTAAATCTTAAATCAGAATCCAATCGATTGTTAAACGCTTTCAACAAATGCTTTTGAAAACAACTGAAACATTGAAACCAATTAACACTTAATTTGTTAACTAATTATCAATACTTACTCTACAATCGGATCACAACAAGTGGTGGCCTTCTTGTCAACGGTTCCCGTATTAGTACGCAATCGAACGCCTTCTTCGTCGTCGGGATCAGAGAAATAGATCTCTTCATCGCTTTCGGTGCGGATATTCATCGATTGTATCGACTCTCGGATTAACTTCAATATTGACTCAAAAGTGCGATCAAAACCGCAATATTTGGCGTAAATGTCAAACAGTGAACAACCGATGGGTATATCAATGGGAGTACAAGTCATGGCCTGACCTGCCTTTCCCAGAATGAAGTGCTGGCCATCCATTGCGGTCACTATAATCATGTGATTACCATAAGAGGTATCGATGCGTTTGAATCGTGTTAAACGGTGGCAAACTTTGATTGCGTTAAACAAGTGATCACTTTTTTGATTATATGTCCAGATATTAAGACCGTAGCAATAGATAGTGTCCGCCGGTGTCCTCACTACCGTATGGTCGGGTCCGCAGAACAGTTGTCGATAAATGCGATTATTGGGACCTTTTAACGGTTGCGGACAACAGTACGTCTGACCGGCGACTGACACCGCTTCGGGACCCAACTGTTGACAGTCATTACTGCCCCACAGATATACTGATCCAGTAGTGGTCAGAGCGGCCGAATGGTTACGACCGCAATAAATGGTCAGAAACTTAGCATTGATTGTCACTTTAGTTGGCGTACAAATCATTTCGCCCTCTGTTTGGCCGCATTGGCGCCGATCGTTGGCTCCAAAGCCGTAGATAAGGTGGTCTTTGGTCAGCACAAGACTGTGATTATCACCGCATGAGATGCCCACCACTGGTTTGAGTTGTAATGAAAGGCTAAATGTTTTGATTGGTTGAGGAGTCGGTGTGTCGGCCACAGACCCGATGCCGAGTTGACCGCACGAGTTATGTCCCCATCCATAGCACTGTCCACTACGGGTCAGTCCAATACAATGTCCCAAACCATAGCATATCTTCGTTATCTTCTTTCCGGTGAGAGTGGCGTTCAGTTGCGGTCTTGCGATCAAACCATTCACTCCGAGACCCAATCGCCCGAAACGGTTGGTCCCGAAGCCGTAGACCCGGTCATCGGCGGTAATGGCTATCACTTCTTCTCCGTTATCACCGAAAACAGCCAATAATCTGATCTTTGATTTGTTGTCCTCTTCGGTGACCACCGGTTGTGGACACAAATCGGAAAACTTTCGCAAAATATTTAAACTATCCATTCATTCATTCATTCATTCAATGATTTATTTATAAATTGTTTTGTTTTCAAAACTGAACTCAAAATGCAATGAAAAATATTTTGAAATACAATACAAAACACTAACCAATCGTATAATGCCTTAAAACACGTGTTCTCTATTGAAAGTATGATTGATATCCAATGGCAACCATTCTTATGGTATTATTACAAACAATTGTTGCCAATAATAATAGGGTTTCAATATATTCTTTGAACGAAAAATGTATACCAACTGTACTATACATACAGTCACTTACAACTCGTGATTGCAATGCCCTCTAATGTCCGGAAGTGGCAGTTGTTAACTATGTTATCAAATTGAAATTAAAAGTATCATGGTTAATGTTCTTACGTTATACCATGACTATTTTATTAATATTAGAACTTATATCTAATGTATATTTAAAATACAATATCAATTAAATATCATATTTGAAAATATATCTATATTAAATTAATTACCGGTAAAAATAAATTATTAAATCACATGTTAATTGAAAACTTTTTATTAATTTCTATCAATTATAATAAATTACAGTTTTATTAATTTGTGGCAAATATTGATTTAGAAATGCTTGGGATTTGTGTTATAATTAGTTTTAACCTCTGGTAGAGATCTCAGTATAGGATCCGAGTTTGAAACCGGAGGCGCCCTTAACGTCGAGCCAACCCTCACGGGTGGCGATCACAGCCT